AAATTTTTGCGTGAGGGGCTGCGTTCGCGCGGCCCTGCTAATGGAATTGAAAGGCTATAAGGGGTTCTGAATGGAGTAAATCCAACTGTGATGCTTTCTAAGACCGTTTTTAAACCGTAATTCTGACTTTATCTTTTTTCACCTAATAGAAAAGTACAAGTGCGTTGCACATTTCAAACCATAAAGTTTCATAAAGTTCCCGTTGAAATTGCCATTCAAGCTTTAAGCAGTATTGTTAACCAAATCTATCTCTAACAATTGATAAAACTGTCTCATAAAATAAATGAAAGTAACTATATTCTTGGTTTCCTATGGGAAATGGGAACTTAGATAAACTAAATATTTTATTGGTCCTTTAAATATGTACATTCAAAACAACACCCTCGTAAATGCATATTCATAAAAAACATTTGAAAAGATGTTGTGTGAAAAGATTATAAGAAAGATTACCATAAATATAGCTTAAACACAACGAAAAGAAGATTTGCTGACGAATTGAGATCTTCCAAATTATTTTGCTAATCAGAATATCTTGATATTTTATTGGGAATACATCAAAACAAAGCCGACTTTTGGTTTTCGATTTGCGGGGGAGGAAAGCCGTCTAAACGAAAAGACGAAAATAAAAATGAAAATCGAAATGAACAAAAGAAAAGCTGAGCGATTGTGAAATAATCGAATGGTTGAGTCTTATGTTTTCTAAAAATTCACTTATTTTAGAAAACTATCGTAATTTGATCATTCGATCAGCTCAACAGAAAGTTTCCATTCGATCAGCTCAACAGAAAGTTTCCATTCGATCAGCTCAACAGAAAGTTTCCATTCGATCAGCTCAACAGAAAGTTTCCATTCGATCAGCTCAACAGAAAGTTTCCATTCGATCAGCTCAACAGAAAGTTTCCATTCGATCAGCTCAACAGAAAGTTTCCATTCGATCAGCTCAACAGAAAGTTTCCATTCGATCAGCTCAACAGAAAGTTTCCATTCGATCAGCTCAACAGAAAGTTTCCATTCGATCAGCTCAACAGACATTTTCCTCAAACCATTCGATTATTTCACAATCACTCAGCTTTTCTTTTGTTCATTTCGATTTTCATTTTTATTTTCGTCTTTTCGTTTAGACGGCTTTCCTCCCCCGCAAATTGAAAACCAAAAGTCGGCTTTGTTTTTGATGTATTTCCATTCGATCAGCTCAATTTTGAGTGTTCTGATTCAGCATAAAATACGAAAAATGAGCTGATTTCGATGTAAACTGGTGTTTTGATTACAATAGCTCTCTAGAGTTGGCGTTTTTTAGAAAACGGATTAATCGCGAGAACATTGACTGCCTCTTTAGCCTATCGTTATCCCAGTATTGATATTATGAAGTTGGAAATTTAAGTCATATATCGAAATTTACATAAAACGAGACTATTTTCAATTTCAACATAGCCAAAGGCAATGTTGAAAAGCTGTAATAAATTTACCGCTATCGGAAGACGTTTAAAAAGTTGATGAAAGAAGAAATGGTGAAATCTCTTGATTGGCTTGAGGGGAAAGCCTCAAGCTTTCAGAAAAAGAGCCGAAAAAGGAAAGTAAATTGGGGATGTTCCCGAATAGTTATGGCGAGTTGCGCAAAGGATCTAGTTGCGCAAATGAACCTGGGGGTGTTTCCGAATAGTGTTTCAGGTGTTCCCGAATAGTGTTTTTAAAAAGTTGATGGAAGAAGAAATGGTGAAATCTCTTCGCGACATGATTGGCTTGAGGGGAAAGCCTCAAGCTTTCAGAAAAAGAGCTGAAAAAGGAAAGTAAATTGGGGGTGTTCCCGAATATTCTTCTTCACATTCTTTTTTCATCTTCTTCTTCTGATTCTCTTGGGAAAAAGTCTCGTCTTTGAGGCAGAAATGGGGAAAATGTCTGGGAAGGGATTTCATTTTCTTGAGGTAGGTAAAAGCTAAGGATGTTTAGAAGATTTTCTGAAACACTATTCAGACATATTTTTAGCTTATTCCTAAATGCTTGTTAATAGAAATTTATCAAAAAAATGATAAATCGATATTTTAACATCTTCCTAAAATCTTAGTAATAATCTATGAAAACAAAAAAAAATCAAAATCAAATTTGTTAAAATGCTTGTTTTTCTAAAAATTGGAGATTCAGTGGAGTTCAGATCTTATTGAGATCTGAAAAGAATGCCGGGAAAATGGCTTTATTGGTAGCAACACTAAAAGTTTACTAAAAACAATGGGGGATGGCTACTTTGCGCCAAATTTTTGTGCGCAACTAGGTCTTTTGCGCAAATTGCCATAACTTTCTTCTAAGTCGGCCAATCTTTATGATTTTGGTGTCATTTTGTTGGACTTGTTTAGATCTACAAAATGACACCAAAATCATAAAGATTGGCCGACTTAGAAGAAAGTTATGGTGAGTTGCGCAAATGACCCTGTTGCGCAAAAAAAAATTGCGGAAATTAGCCTACCCCGAATCCCGCTTTAGTGAGCATAATTTAGAAAAAGCGCTGTTTGCTAAAATGCATATGCTAGTATGCAATGCTAGTAGATAAGGAGAGTTATGGATTTTAGAACTTTTACAGAGTACCTTGACTAATATCAAGGGTTTAAAGTAGAAGGACAAGGACATGACAAGGAAATCAACAAGAAAATCATTGAAAACTTTACAAAATTCAGTAACAATAACAAAAACATTAAAGATTAAAGCTAAAATTAGATCAATTTCAATTGCGACAAGATCCCCATCAAGTAAAGATTTGTAATTTCAATTGTAAAATTGAGTTTACAAGAATTGCAATTGTCTCTCAATTGCAAACTATCGACTCGGAGAAGAAGTGGTTTCAAATTGAAAAAATGGAAATTGAAATGAGAAGAGAACTCTGCTCTGAAAAGAAAGGTGAAGGGAAGAGGGCTTTTCCAAAGCACAAGCACAGGTAAGAAGGAAGGGGATAAGTGAAAAAAGAGGGGGAAAGGAAGAGAAAAAGAAGAGGAAAAGCAGAGAAAAAAGGTGTTCCCCAATATCCACCTAGTGATGAAAAGGAGAAAGAGATGGAAAGGGCGGAGGGGCGGACAGAGCAGAGGGGACAGCGCGGTGGTTGTTGGGGGAGGGTATCCACGTCCGCCAGTCTGTCTCAGTCTGTCTGCCTCTTTCCCTTCTCTTCCCCTTCTCTTCCCATTCTCTTCCCCTTCTCTTCCCCTTCTCTTTCCCCTTCTCTTTCCCTTCTCTTCCCCTTCTCTTCCCCTTCTCTTTCCCTTCTCTTTCCCTTCTCTTTCCCTTCTCTTTCCCCTTCTCTTTCCCCATCCATCTCTCTATATTTTGTCTATTGTCTAAGTGAAAATCATGGGGAAAGTGGTCATAAAAGATTGAGTTCACAATGGAGCTGGATAAGAAAGACTTTATCCAGTCAAATTTTCTTTAAGAACTCAATCTTTTCTGATCACTTATCCCCATTCAAGATCAATGTTTCTTCGGGAAAGATTAAAAGTACAACAAGTACAACAAGATTAGAGGATTAGATTTTGAAATCTTTCTAGACTGATGTACATGGGTGTATTTTGTCTTGAAGCGGAAGCGGATCAAACCAAATCAGACAATTTTCCTGTCAAAGAAACTGTGCCTTAAATTCTATAGGCTTAAAAGTTTTGGATCTACCTTAAATTGAAATTGAATTCTTTCCTTAAAAATTAACGGCTTTCTTTTCGTTTATTTATTTATGATTAGATAGTCTTTGCTATTTAGGTCTTTGAAAATACAGTCGACTTTCTCTATAACGGAACTCTATATAGTGGAAAGCTCTATATAACTGAATGGAATTTTGATCCCAGCCGATGCTAATCTATATAACGGCACTCTATATAATGAAAATATCGATTTTCACACGTTTTTTTGAGCCCTTCCGTTATAGAGAAAGTCGTGCCCTAAAATCGATAGCTTTACCGTAGCTAAAGATTTGAACTTGAGCTATTTAAGACTAAAGATTTCTTTAGAGGAATTCAAATTTCTTTTCTTTTGTAGATTCAAAAGATTGGAAGGAAACGTGTGAAATTGAACATTCAGCTGACATGTCCTTTAAGCCTGGATCTTAGTCTTAAATAGCTCAAGTTTAAATCTTTAGCTACGGCTTAGGCTTAGGCTTAGGCTCAGGCTTAGGCTTAGGCTTGGACTTAGGCTCAGGCTTAGACTTAGGCTTAGGCTTAGGCTTAGGCTTAGACTTAGGCTTAGGCTTAGGCTTAGACTTAGGCTTAGGCTTAGGCTTAGGCTTGGGCTTGGGCTTTCTTAGGATCCCAGCCGATGCTAATCTATATAACTGCACTCTATATAATGAAAATATCGATTTTCCCACGTTTTTTTTGAGCCCTTCAATTCCGTTATAGAGAAAGTCGTGCCTTAAAATCGATAGCTAGCTAGATAGCTTACCGTAGTCAAAGATTTGAACTTGAGCTATTTAAGACTAAGATCCAGACTTAAAGGACATGTCAGCTGAATGTTCAATTTCACACGTTTCCCTCCAATCTTTTGAATCTAAAAAAAAAAGAAAAGAAATTTGAATTCCTCTAAAGAAATCTTTTCTATTCACTCATTTTTGATCGTTCTTTGAAGAACGGCCTTTTTTTTCCTTCCCTTTTCAATGATTCATTCTTTTTAATCGAAAAAAAAACGCGCAGACTCTTCGAAAATCATCGCAAAGAATTTCGTAACAATGCGAAACAGAGAAAACAAATATGCATTGTGTTTGGATGTTTTTGTGAAAATTTGAAATGAAAATGGGATTTATTTTTGGATAAATGAAGTCAATGACGAGAGTGGGGATCGAAATTTCGGTTGATCGCAGTTGAAAAGGCTAACCGATTAAAAGGCTAGCCAAACTATAAGTCTTGAAAGTCTTATAAGACTTGAAACGACTATAATTCTTGTGCTCTTACAGAAAATTTGAATAAATATCATCTACATAATTAAACTTTATTTAATCTAAAGCACATTAAACTTTTAAATATTCAATCTTTTCCTCAAGAGCGCAACTCCTTGTCGGCCTCGCGGAACGGGATGCTGAAATTTCAGTTGAGAGTTTCAAAAGAATATCTCTAGGAAAGTAAAGCTGTTATAAATACATTATATTAGATTGACAACTTGAAAGTACACTTCGTATTTCCCAGAAAACATATATGCCAATTGAATTAGATTTCTCTCAATTTGAATTACCGTGAACACTGTAATAGTACCACACCCCCTTAATGACGGTGCGGAGTGTTGCGTAGCCTAGCTTTGAACGAGTTTTTCTCGATACTGGTTTATGCTACAAGGCGCGCTTAGGTATCAAAAAATAGCTGAAATTCAGGGCTATTTTTGATATCAACAGACGGAGCATCGCGTAGCCTAGCTTTGAACGAGTTTTTCTCGACACTGGTTTATGCTACAATGCGCGCTTAGGTATCAAAAAATAGCCCTGAATTTCAGCTATTTTTTGATACCAAAAGACGCATTTTTGAAAGTACGGGCGCTTTGAAAAAAATGAAATACTAAAAAACTTTTGCGACTACGCGACTGTACGGGGTGGGGTACTATTACAGTATTTACGGTAGATTAAAAGTTACATATTATCGAATTTAAGACAAACTTAAGCAAATTTGGACATAAATTTTCAAATAAATTTGAGCAGAAATTCAAGTTTTTTTTTTCTGAAAATTCCTCAAACAGACATATAACGAAAACAATTAGAAGAATCGAGCTGAGAATTCGGCTATATGCCTAACTTTTGATGCCCTATCTTTTTTCTATGAACCTCAAAATAGGTTTATGTGGAAGAAAGTGCTCAACGCTCAAATCGCTTCATCGAGTGTTCATCTTTTTTGGTTCCTCAACTTCTTGCCCCCTAGAAAACTACAAAGCCGAAACTTTTCTAAATCTGTTAAAAGCCTGTTTTAGAGAATAAATGAGCCTTTTTATTAGTGAAAACTGTAGATTAATTGGGGCAATAGTTATTTCTAAAAAGTCCAATGAATACCGTATTTTCTCTAATAGTAGTGCACCCAGAGCGTCGCCTAAATTGCTCGAAATCTCGAAAACCGCTTATCAGCACCTATTGATGTGGGGTAGGAAAATGTAGCCGACGATGAGATCTAGTGGGGGATTTGAGTGTTGAGCTTCTGGGAAAACTTTGGAAGCCGTAAATAGTCACCACCTCGGCTCGCCGGGGTACACTACTATTAGAGAGAATACGGTATTCATTAATATAAATAGATTACGGGATTTTCTCTAACCTAGGCTTCCCCTAAGTTCCTTGAAATCTTGTAAACCGCTTATCAGAACCTATCGATGTGGGGTAGGAAAATGTAGCTGACGATGAGATCTTGTGGGGGATTTGAGTGTTGAGCTTCTGCAAAAGCTTGGAAACCGTCAAATAGTCACCAACTCGGGTGCACTACTATTAGAGAAAATACGGTAATTGGTGCACTAGTTATTTCTAAAAAGTCCAATGAATAAGTGTCCCAACTTTCAAGTTGCTAATTTAATAGTAGCAAAATAAGTATACTATTATATTTGAGAACCCGGTTCTTCTATTTTTCAAGAATGATCGGTAGCAGATTATTTAACAGGAATAGTTACTCTTTTAAACAATGAACTACCGATTTTGAGCCGGATTTCGTCCTTTCTCGAAAGCCTCTGTATCAATTGGAAGCACCGATTCGTCAGTGTCCTGAAAGTAGATCAAGAATTGTGAAATATTTAAGATAAGAAAAGGCATTGCCGATCTCACCCTCAACTCCTCCTCAGTGGGCATATCGGCTGGATGAATGAAAGAAAGAGGATCCATCTCACCGTCCGGGAAGCTCTAAAGATAAATTTCCATTTAAATAGCAAATAAAATACAGTGAAAATGTCGCCCTTTTCTTCCGCTCCGCCCGTTTTGATCATTGAATCGGTTTCGGTTCCTTTTGCGATCTGAAATGCATCAAAGATTTACGAGCAAAAGTGTGAGTGAAGAATAAAGGAAAGGCCCAAGTCTCATAGCTTACAAGGAAAGATCAACTGGCTGAGCCAGCCAAATGACATGCAGTCTGTACCATTCGATGCAGAATTTCACGCTGATTCCGAATCTGCTTTCCGTTTTTGCTGAATGTTATTTGGGCAGGAGTTATAAGGACTTGTTAGGACTCTGAGAATATAGGTTTTTGGATCTTAGGCGCCTTCTGTGCGACCTCAACTCTATTATAGTAGGTTTCGATGATTAAATTGTGTCCAGGAGGGACTGACTGTTTGATTAGATTGAATAAATTGTGATCTCGGAAGCTGGTCCATGTCCGAGTACACAAAGAACGCAAGTTTTCACATCTTGAAAAAAAGCAAAAAAAACTGGGCCTCACACAGAGATCTTTGGTCTCGAAAAAAGACGCTCTACCGCTCGACTACAATCTACAAGAATTGAGGCCGCGCAGAAGGGGCTCAAGATCCAAAAACCAATATTTTCAGAGTCCAAACAAGTCCTTATAACTCCTGCCCAAATAACATTCAGCGAAAACGAAAAGCAGATTCGGAATCAGCGTGAAATTCTGCGTCGAATGGTAAAGGCTGCATGTCATTTGGTCGGCTCAGCCAGTTGACCTTCCCTCGTTAGATATAGAAAAGACGAACTGGGATACGCTAACTTTTTCCTGAACACGAAACACTGAACAATTCCCCCTCTCACCTCAGTCACAAATCCGTCTCCTTCTTTTTTCATTTCAGTCACAAACGAGTGCTCTCTCGTGTACTCGGGTAGCTAAATCTTTTAAAACAAAAAAGATTTCCCTGAAAACCTCTTCGATTAACGTGTCGTGAGCAACTTTCTCCAACTCCTCGCTCTCATTGATCAGATAATCAGAGATATCCTGTAAATTTGAATATGATAAAACTGTGAATTTTTACCGCATGATCATCGACTTCAATGCCAGACCCTTCCTCAATCGTTTGATTGGGATTTTGTCTGCCTTGTGGATTATCTGAAATTTTATTTTAAAAATGCATTTTCAATAATGTGGTACAAACGTTGCACAAGAAGTCGTAAATCTAAAAAACAGGAAAAAGCAAATCTTGAGTCTTGTCGCCGGGGATTGTACCCCCGAACCCTCGACTAAAATACCAGCCTCTTAGCCACTCGGCCATGAAGGTCATTTCCAGGGGATAAAAATAAGTTGGCTTTATAAGCTTTGTGCTCTTTTTTTTCTTACAAATATTGAAGGTAAGTGTCGCTTCGGTGTCTCCGCGTGTTGTGAAGAGGAAAATCGGCATGAAATGATTCGCGGAAACGATTCGGCGAGACGCATAGCCGGCACAACAAAATCTGAAACACAAAAAACAATCTTTTCTTTTGCATAATGGATCACCTAGTCATATTTTGGGTTCACATTCAATTTCGGGTTCTCATTTTTTTTTTGGGTTCTCATTCAATTCATTTCTACCTGTATCCAGTGATCCTCTTATCCGTGTGTGGCTTCAATTCGATCGCTTGCCTCCAACAACCCGTCTCACAAAGTGTCCCACGTAATTTATTCAATCGTACTTCAACGCGCTTTCCTTTTGGAGCCTGCATTACTTATATATATCAAATAATTCTCTTATAAGTTGATCATTTTTTGTTTTAAACTCACTGCCAAATGGTAGATGCAGTTGCGGAGATGGGTCGCTTTCTCATTGCGCTTTATGTGGATTCTGAAGATTCTCATTGTCAGTTAAAACGTATATTTAGGAAATTCTTGTCCTGTATATCAAAAAGTTTAAGATTTTCAAATGTCATACCTGATCTTTTGTGGTGCATGAGTGGCTCGTACCACTCCACCGCATCCGATCACACTTGGTGCCTCTCGTCGAGTGCATTGACGTCCCGCAAATCCCTCTGGGCATCTGAATGAATAGATTTTATAAGACTATAGAGATTATAGAGATGTGATTTGACGTGGCTTACTAGGCTAATAAAGTTAGTGAAGAAAAAAAGATGTAAAAAATGATACAAAAATAAACGCTTCAAGGGTACAATAGGTGAATGTAGTTTGTCAAAATTGACGAAAAGTCAAAGTGTTTAATAACAACTAATGAGTAAAAATTACTTAAAAGTGGATCCTTTGACTCACCGAGTTTTGTAGAAAAACAGCCAAGTTTAGGACAATAAATTGATCGCAAAAATAAAAAATGACGCCCAAAACTGATTCTGTTTACGAAGAATGTCGGAAATACAAAAATAGTCGCATCGGACGGAGGAGGATCATGTAACGGTCTCACATTGTAATTTTGAAATTGGATTGGCAGGGCCGCGCGAACGCAGCCCCTCACGCAAAAATTTAGCTGTTAGCGAACCCCAACTCGGAGCTGCCACACGGGTCAACACAGTCAAAAGTGCAATGACCATGTCTCACCATGGGGGTCCCGTCTTGGTGATCACGAGAAACCCCCCAGCCAGGTAAGTTTATGAGCGGGTCGAGGGAGGGGGTTAAGTAAAAGACGTGCGCCAGATCGCGAGCGATTACGCTTGTACACAAAGAACACCCAAGGGGTCGGGCATGTCTTGTTGCCAGGGGAAAAAGAAGTTTAAATCCTTTTATTGGAGTTTAAGATACTCAAGCAATGGACAGAATATCTGAAGATTAGTTTGATTTTGGGTTTATTCAAATGGGAACCGCTTCTTTTCTCTCGGAGTTAAATTTTTAGTCTTCATTAAAGAAATTCAAGTAATGTGTGCAAGATAGCAAGATAGTAGCATCCAAAAATAGCAAGATATAAAAATAGTTGATATCAAAATCAAAATAAACACTTTAAACAAAACCGTTGCACAGTGATGGAGTTAAAAATGGATAAATTTGTGGGGCTGCGGCACAACATTACAATTGTTGGCATGTTTGGCAGGGCCGCGCGAACGCGGTCCCTCAGGCTGTTAGCGAACCAAAACTCGGAGCTGCCAAAAGGGTCACACAATCAAAAGTGCAATGACCATGTCTCACCATGGGGGTCCCGTCTTGATGTTCATGATAAAATCCCAAGCCTGGTAATTTTATCAGCGGATCGAGGGAGAGACTTAACCAAAAGACAAGCGCCAGACGACAGCGATTACGCCGCCGCAAAAAGAACACATCAGTGATCGATAGATGCCTTGTTGCCACGGGCATTTCCAATAAAGACATTCTTCAAAACTATGAGATTACATTCGATTATCCGAGATGTTGAGATGTTTCAACCCAAGCAATGCGCTTTCAAAGTTATTGGTTGATTACGATCTTTTCACTTAATAGAAAATACGGTACATAAAATGTTGCACATTTCAAACAAAAGCACGACTTCAGAATATTCATTTTTCCAATGTTTCCCCCATGAAAAAGTTCAGTCTAACTAATCCCTGATTCATAAAAATTCTCGATGAAGATGCCCGTGCTTTCGCTTTAAATTATTCCATTTGTCCAAAGGAGAAGTCCAAGAATAGCCCTCCATCCCCTCATTTAAGCTTTCTCAAGCTTTTGATATTTATCTTTTAAAGCTTTCAACTTTTGATATTTATCATAGGCTTGGCTTAAGTTTTCCTTTTACCGTAATTCGAATAAAAATAAAGTCAGAATTACGGTTTAAAAACGGTCTTAAAGCATATCAGTTGGATTTACCTCTTATAGCCTTTCAATTCTATTAGCAGGGCCGCGCGAACGCAGCCCCTCACGCAAAAATTTAGCTGTTAGCGAACCCCAACTCGGAGCTGCCACACGGGCCAACACAGTCAAAAGTGCAATGGCCATGTCTCACCATGGGGGTCCCGTCTTGATGATCACGAGAAACCCCCAGCCAGGTAAGTTTATGAGCGGATCGAGGGAGGGGGTTAAGTAAAAGACGTGCGCCAGATCGCGAGCGATTACGCGTTGGCAGAAAGAACACCCAGGCGGTCTGGGGTGTCTCGTTGCCGCGGGCATTTTAATCAGAGACATTGTTTCAAACTATGAGGTTTATCCGAGATGTTGGAATGTTTCTACCCAAGCGATGCGCTTTCAAAGTCATAGGTTGATTACGATCTTTTCACTTAATAGAAAATACGGTACATAAAATGTTGCACATTTCAAACCAAAGCACGACTTCAGAATATTCATTTTTCAAATGTTTCCACGATCATTTGTCTCACTTACATCAATCTATTGGCAGGGCCGCGCGAACGCAGCCCCTCACGCAAAAATTTAGCTGTTAGCGAACCCCAACTCGGAGCTGCCACACAGGTCAACACAAGTCAAAAGTGCAATGACCATGTCTCACCATGGGGGTCCCGTCTTGTTGATCACGAGAAACCCCCCAGCCAGGTAAGTTTATGAGAAGGCGATTGGCGTGAGATAAAGAAGACCCCTTTGCTAGATTGCGCACCTTTACACGAGGCAACAAAGAACGCACAACGAGAGAGGAAAGACGCAGAGCTTTCGCTTTCGAAAGAAAACAGCAAAAATACTTGGTGAAGAGAAAATAGAAAAAGAAGCTTGAAATGAAGCTACCGTAATCTCTAGATAAACAACTAAATAACCTTTGCTAGAGCGATTCCGCGCGACAAAGAACACCTTGGTGGATGTCTCCATCAGTGATTGTTGTCTACAATTCTAGTCAACTCACTTGCAGTATCCACATCGATTCGGATCATTATAGCCGTTATTCAAGCATTTCATTCTCAATTTGCAACGGCCTAAATATACATAAAAGATAAAATAAATGCTTTACTTTGACAGTTATAGTGAGTATTCAACAATTGTAGATCCAAGAAAGTCGGTCCAGTCAACGATCCCATTGTGTATTGATAATTTGGATCTTTTGCCACCACTGAGGGGACATTCGACTGCACGGAGAACCGGAAATTAGAGAAAGTTATTAAGTTATTCAGTTGGCTGCTTTGATGTTTGATTTAGAAATGAAAGATTCGCTTACTCGGTTGGTCCATAGTGCATCACTGATCCGATCTCGTAAGGGATCCCGTACGTTTTCAAGCTCGATATTCCCACCTAGAATTTCTCAAAGTTCTCAAATAAACTAGATTGATACTAGATTGAATCCTAGACTGGATACTAGACTGGATCCTAGACTGGAGCCTTGACTGGATCCTAGACTGGATCCTAGACTGGATACTAGACTGGATAGTAGCCTGAATCCTAGACTGAATCCTAGACTGGATCCTAGACTGGATACTAGACTGAATCCTAGCCTGAATCCTAGACTAGATCCTAGACTGGATACTAGACTGGATACTAGACTGAATCCTAGACTGAATGAATGACCTTAGGCTTAGATTAAATTGTTTAAAAAAATCCGTAGATTTTAACACCGACTTTTCCAAAATTGTAGTAAAGGCCTTTGGGAACGCGATTGGCCAACACGTGAATGAACTTGTCACGATCATATCTGAGATTGGGATTTAAGAGCGAAAGATAAAGTTTTGTAAGGCAAAACTATTAGATTCAAACATTTGTAATTGTCGTTTTGTACAATTTTGTGTAAAAGGTAGTGAGAGATTTACAAAACTGTTTCAATTTTTGATGAAACATCATTGTTGAGTAGATAATAGTTGTTTTAAATCATTTCCCCCCGAATTATTTATTTGTTTTCTAAAGGGCGGACCTCCTACCGTACCCTTAACTGTCCGCCATTTCACAAAATTGTTTCTCTTTGGTCAAATTCGTTGTCAAACTTTTGTTTGAAAAGAATTGCTCAAGATTGCCGAAATAAATTGTTAAATCAATTTGTACCATCAAGGAAATACATACCGCAAATACTGTAATTGGACCTCACCCCCATAATGACGGTGCGGAGTGTTGCGTAGTCTAGCTTTGAACGAGTTGTTCTCGACACTGGTTTATGCTACAATGCGCGCTTAGGTATCAAAAAATAGCTGAAATTCAGGGCTATTTTTTGATACCAAAGACGCATTTTTTAAAAGTACGGGCGCTTTGAAAAAAATGAAATACTAAAAAACTTTTGCGACTACGCGACTGTACGAGGGAGGTGTGGTACTATTACAGTATTTACGGTAGGTTGGCAAGTTATAAACGATCGCTTGCTTTGTTCAATGATTACTTAGAATTCAAAAAAAGATTTTTCGTGGGGTTTTTTTTCAGCAAACAAACTCCAAAATTTTCGCGTAAACATAAGATCCCTTCCAGATTTCTGAGCCCCTTCTGAGCCAAATTTCTGAAAAAAAATGGAGGACGAGAAATTTCTTATTCGCACAGCTATGCTCTACGATTTTAAACAAGGAAAATCAGGCGCTGAATCTCGTCGTACAATTATTTCCGCTTTTGGAGATGGAAGTATTAGCGAAAGTCAATGTCGAAAATGGTTTCAAGGCTTTCAAAGTGGCAACGAAGGTCTTCAGGATGAGCCGCATGAGAGGCACCCTCCAGGAGTCACTCATGTGAATTTGCTGGGTATTAAAAATAGCCCTGAATTTCAGCTATTTTTTGATACCAAAGACGCATTTTTTGAAAGTACGGGTGCTTTGAAAAAAATGAAATACTGAAAAACTTTTGCGACTACGCGACTGTACGAGAGGGTTGGGGTCCAATTACAGTATTTACGGTAAGTATACAAAAATTATAATAAATCATTCTCTAATCTTAAATACATTTAAAAAATAAAACAATTCGAAGAAAGCAAAGGAAAGTTAACCTGCTCTGTTCATGAAAGAGTCCCAATGCATGGGCCACCTCGTGTGAGGAAATGCCAAACTGAAAGGAAATATAACTATCATATTGGTGCAATAAATTAGAATCTTAGATAGTAAACGGTATTAATATTATTAATATTAAGCTTATTCAATAAACCGGTTCACAGCCATCCCCAATCGAGATCCATTGTTGGCGTTGTGATGGATCCCTGCCCACCGTGCTCCAACAGCCAGCATCGTGTCCGATATAGTACAAGTACACCTAGATGTTTGCATTAAATAAAGGTTTATTTGAATTTCCAAAGTTTAAATCACTCACATCCTCTTTTGTCCTTTTTCTGAAACGAATACAAGTGTGTCTCTGGAAATATTTCATCGCTGCGATCACTGTGTACTTTTTGTAGCGATCTAAAAGATTGGAAGTGTAAAAGCTGAAAGCTAAATCTCGATAGTTTCCGTTTATGCATTGTAATTTATTCCATAATCTATGGATTGTTGGCGGATGGGCCCGGGGGCCCGGGTTCAGGGCCCGGGTTCGTCAAACTATTTACCATTTACCATCTAGTAATTTTGCTAAATCAATTTACCAATTCAACATTTAGCAACTTTGCTATGCTGATACTGAGTATGCTTTTACTTTTTCGAGCTCTGTAACGAAAAGAGCTCTGCAACGTTTCCCTAGTTAGCATTTAGCAACTTTGCTAAATGCTAACTAGGGAAACGAAGCTTAAACTGTGAGACAGTGCATAACAATATGGTTAAGCTTATTGATTTGTGAATATGTAGCTTTTAGTTGTCAGAACTCACTCATGCTTCGATGATAGGCGACGGGCACTCCGTCCGACCAGATCTCCCGTGGATAGGTCTTCTTTCTGAAATAAAAGATCTACAGACTAGGATCTAGATCTTGATTTCTAAATGAAAGCATTTGTCCTGCATTTCACCTGTAGGCTTGTCTTTTCACCCGTCCCTTTGAGGTCATTTCTTCGAGCATTTCCTCTAAAAACGCTCGATTTGGTCGAATGTCGTGCTCCAACAAAATGTCTCTAAAATTCACCATCAATCCTTCACAATGGGATTTGGCACTCACGAATATTGTGCGTTCAATCGGCTCATCGTCAGCGTTCGATTGATCGATGCCTCGTGCGGCTCAACTTCATGCTGAATTCATATAGTTGATTTTGAGCAATTTCAAGTTCAAAACTAGAGTTCGGCAAACAAAACCAAAACCAAAACAGACCAAAACCAAAGCCAAAACCAAAACACCAAAACAAACCAAAACTCAATTTGCATATAAATTAACATGTAAATTTAAAATTGTAAAATGCAAATTTGCCTTTCACTTTTTCTCACTCCCCAAAATCTCGCGGCGAAAAAAGGACCAAAACACGACCTCGAAATTTCGAAACAAAAAATGGCCTATGGGATAGATTTTTGGACGCTGATTTCAAATCTGCAAACAGATTTTCGCTAGCTCCTCCCAATGGCGAGATATTGGCGAGTTTTGGTTAGTTTTGGTTTTGGTTTTGGTCTGTTTTGGTTTTGGTGGTTTTGGTTTTGGTTAAGTTTTGTTTTCCGAAGTCTATTCAAAACTTACATGTGCTGGCTGATTTTGAAGATTTTGTTCAACGGCTGATGAGAGTGAATCAAAGAGAGCCGAGTTTTCACCAAATCTCACGAGATTTCGGAGCTGAAATGGATAATCTGATGATTTATTTTCTGATTGCTTCTGTTAAGCTATAGAAAAGCTTTGAGCTATAGCTTTTGAGCTCTTCCTAAACTCTCTAGGATCTTGGAAGAAATCAGGAAGAAAACTTAGCAAACAAGAATGTTAAAAAGGCGAATCTGGAAAGCTAAACAGATCAGGAATTTTTTCCAGCCTCAGCTTTTTGTTCTGGCAGTCAGATCTTCTTAATTTTTCTTAAAATACAGTTCAGAGTGAGATCAGTGGACACTGATCAGTTCTGATCAGTGAGAACAGTTCCCCAAACAAACCGTCAACTCTTGACCACTCTCCGTCTCACACAAAACACCCAAATGAAAAGAGTAAAATATTAATAGAAAAATCGAGATCATTTTTAGAATAAATAGAAAAATAAAATAAGTTCAATGTTGTCGATAAAAGCGAATGGAGGACTGAAAATCTCTCTCCTTGATCGGTTGCTTTTCCGGTTGTTCTCAATTCTCAATCGCCTTTTCTTCACGAGAAAGTGAGAAGATCGTCACCCAATTTTCCGATCGCATTTCCGATTTTTCTCTTTTTCCCCTTAAATAAGCGAATCGCTTTCGATTTGGATTAAAGCGTAAGTCTATTTTTTTCGAAAATTTTATCGTTTAGGCCTATGCTCATTCAACTCCTGTTTCCAATCTTGAATCTACATCAAATAAAATGTATCTACATCAAATCTACATCAAATGTACGATTTGCATTGGAAAGATCTCTGCAGATTTCCTCTGCAGAATGGTTCTTAGCAATTTAGAAAAGCTTTCGTTTTTGAGGTTTCTCGGGAGCGCAAAGGCGAGTAGACAAAATTGTCAAGAATTTTTGTTTGTGTTTTGTGTGAGACGGTTGGCAACTTTTTTTGATGGGAACCGACAATAACTTTCTATGCCAAACAAAGATCAATCTCTGTTATATTTTTAATAAAATCTTCAGTAAAATCCATGCAGCCATTCTCTAAAACTTTCAAGTTATTCAGTTTTTCAAGTTTCGATCGTTTATAACTTGCCAACCTACCGTAAATACTGTAATAGTACCCCACCGCCCTCGTACAGTCGCGTAGTCGCAAATGTTTTTTAGTATTTCATTTTTTTCAAAGCGCCCGTATTTTCCAAAAATGCGTCTTTGGTATCAAAAAATAGCTGAAATTCAGGGCTATTTTTTGATACCTAAGCGCGCCATTGTAGCATAAACCAGTGTCAAGAAAAACTCGTTCAAAGCTAGACTACGCAACACTCCGCACCGTCATTATCTTTGGTATCAAAAAATAGCCCTAAATTTCAGCTATTTTTTAATACTTAAGCGCGCATTGTAGCATAAACCAGTGTCGAGAAAAACTCGTTCAAAGCTAGACCACGCAACACTTCGCACCGTCATTATGGGGGGGGGTCCAAAATTACAGTATTTACGGTAATACATTACTTGTATTCAAGCCAAAACAATTTTGCAAAACGCAACTTTATTCTTTTATGTCTGAGTTTTAAGAAACAGAATGAAAATTTATTCTTTTAAGTTGTCCAAAAAAATGTTTTCAATTGTTATTCAGAAAAGAAAAGAGGTTGAGAGCCGATCACCAGAATTTCCGAGAGTACAATTGTTTACGAACCTAAAAAGATGAGAATTATTTTTGAAATGTAAAGTCGTAAATAAATTTATCCTCAAAAGGATACTGTATTGTGAGTCAGTGTACCATCTTTTAAAATGCAATTTTTCACCTGCTCAAGCTCTGTTTCGGGTACACGAAATGTGTAGAGACGAGGCTTATTCGAGAGAGAATATTGGAAATTTTGATTCGGGCCGTCCATCGAATTTGTGTTCTCGTTTAGCTGAAAGGAGTTTTGGATTTATGAAATTGAAATTTATGCTGATTTTTGCTCTTTAGATCATCGGATGAGTTAAACGGTTGAAAATTTCCGTACAATATTTATTAATAGTCAATCATCTTCGCAAATAGTCATTTTTTTCTTAATGTATTATCGTTTATATTATTCATTTTCACTCATAAAATATTCCGTCACTGAAAATGAGCATACAGTGGAAAAATATTCGTTTAATCAACCAACCCTGAACAAAGTATTCGCTTGGATCAAGAAGAGAAGTGAAAGAAAGGAAAATAATCTGAAAGCTCGCTTTTTTTAAAAACTTTTTCTAATGAAACTTACCGAAAAAGCATTTTCTGGGTGAAAATCGTGTTTCCCCGAAGCGAGTTGAGATTTGAGCTGGAAATTGTAATAAGAACAATGATAATAATAAGAAAATGAAAATAAGAACAATAATAATAAGAAGAAGAACTAACAAATGAGAACCGAATAAGAACTGAAACGGGCCCGAATAGGAAACCGAATGGAAACGGAATAGGAACCAAATTGGAACCAAAAGGAACCAAATAGGGAGGAAAATAGAACCTAGTAGGAATCAAATAGGAACCAAATCGGAATCAAATAGGAACCAAATAAGAATCAAATAGGAACCAAATAAGAATCAAATAGGAACCAAATCGGAATCAAATAGAAACCAAAAAGGAACCAAAAGGAACCAAATCGGAACCAAATTGGAACCAAATCGGAACCAAATAGGGAGGAAAATAGAACCTAGTAGGAACCAAATAGGAACCAAATCGGAACCAAATAGGAAGCAAATCGGAACCAAATATGAAGCAAATCGGAACCAAATAGGAACCAAATCGGAACCAAATAAGAACCGAATGTTCTTTTTATTTTTATTTTTAAGAGCTGATACGCAAAGCTTTACAATCTGAAATCCAACTTATAAAATATTTGAAGAATGATTTCTACAAAGCAGCGACAGCAATTCAAGAGATTTATGTCGGAATTCCCAGTAAAGTACGAGAAAAGGAAGTGCAATTTTGGGGGAAAATTACGATTTTCCCCTGTATAGGCAGACGCTCGTAAAACTTACTCGTAAATGTAAGTTGAAATTAAATTTTTGTCTTTAAAAAGCAAAGGAAGACGAATTCTGCATGAAGTAAAGTTGGAAAGAAACAAAAATAAAAAGTCTTGTCTTTTTCGTATCAAGTACATACCGTAAATACTGTAATTGGACCCCACCCCCATAATGACGGTGCGGAGTGTTGCGTAGTCTAGCTTTGAACGAGTTTTTCTCGACACTGGTTTATGCTACAATGCGCGCTTAGGTATCAAAAAATAGCCCTAAATTTCAGCTATTTTTTCATACCAAAGACGCATTTTTTGAAAGTACGGACGCTTTGAAAAAATGAAATACTAAAAAACTTTTGCGACTACGCGACTGTACGAGGGGAGTACTATTACAGTATTTACGGTATGGTTTATGAACAAAAAGCAAACTCAAAGCTAAACTCAAAGCTTCAAGAATGTAAAATTAAAATCTGATTTACTAGTTTACTTTAAAAATGATCGATTTGAACTGATCGATTCGAAAAAAATCGTATTTTTCGATTTCTTATGTGAAATTTCAAATTTTTCATTCGAAAACTAGAAAAAGCTTTGTTACAACATGTTACCAAAACGTTATTTCCTTTCTTTTACTTACCGTAAATACTGTAATAGTACCCCACCCCCATAATGACGGTGCGGAGTGTTGCGTCGTCTAGCTTTGAACGAGTTTTTCTCGACACTGGTTTATGCTACAAAGCGCGCTTAGGTATCAAAAAATAGCCCTGAATTTCAGCTATTTTTTGATACCAAAGACGCATTTTTTGAAAGTACGGGCGCTTTGAAAAAAAAATGAAATACTAAAAAACTTTTGCGACTACGCGACTGTACGAGGGGGGTGGGGTACTATTACAGTATTTACGGTATTAGAAAATCCCCTAAACTATGCAAGAGCTTAAATTTTCTATAGTTGATCCCTTTTGATACGTTTCAATTGACAAAATAGACTTTTCTCATCTTCATCTTCATCAAAATCTGATCCTATAATTAATCTCTAAATCTTTATTCATTTTTTTTTCTTTTTCCCTTTTGAGAAAGATCAAAAAGCGATTAATTAAATAAATAGAATGATGATGAAAATGATGAGAGGGAATTCGATTTCATTTTGAATATTCACAAGGGTTCGCTAAAATGGAAACGAAAAAAAAAGAGAATTCTCAGCAAAGAAAGCAAAGAAATTTGCCATTTTTCACAACCAAAAGAAGCGCCTTTCCTAAAAAAAACGAACAAAACGATGAGCCTTTGAGAAGCGAAACTTTAACTCAAACATGATGAGCCTCTAGAGAGGAAAAAAGATAATTCAAAAATAGAAGAGATCTGGGTTGGAATGGAGAAAATCTCGTATCAAGTATTTGTAGATACAAGCTAAAAAAGCTCGATGACGCTAGTGCAAAAGAGAACTAGTTTGCTGACTATTCTGTTAGCAATTCCACTTCGTTTTCTTGATTGTCCTGAAATTTGTCAACGAATCGGATTAGACTGTGTTCCTCTCGAGCAAGTAGTTACTAAGTAGTAGTTAAGTAGTTAAGCTCGATGACGCTAGTGCAAAAGAGAACTAGTTTGCTGACTATTCTGTTCCGAATCTAATTCCACCTTCGTTTTCTTGTTGATTGTCCTGAAATTTGTCAAACGAATCGGATTAGACTGTGTTCCTCTCGAGCAAGTAATTACTTGAAGAGATTTGCGTAAGTAATTTTTTTCTACTTGAGTAACGCGTCAAGTAATGTCAAGTAATGGTATTCTAAAAAGTACGTTTTTCAGTTGTTTAAATAAGCAGTTTTATTATTATTGCTTTACATTTCTTTTAAAAGCTAATAATTTTAGTGACTGTTACTCTTTAGTAACTGTTACTGTCACTCTAAAAGTAACTGTTACTGTTACTCTAAAAGTAACTGTTACTCTTCCGTAACTGTTACTGTTACTCTAAAAGTAACTGTTACTTTTAGTAACTAAAATCGTCTCAATCTATCTAGCAAAAAGCCAAAAATTTTTGAATTGATTTGATTTTGCAAAAATTTGCCTCGAGTTGGGGTCAAACTTGCCGCCTAACGGCTCCACACTTTAGAGACAAACAGGCAAGCCATTCGGTCAACCGTTAAATTAGTTTCCCTTTGGAACGTGTTTTAAAACTCGGCAACGTGCAATTACTCGGAAGGAACACACTCTAGATCGGATATCCCTATCCGATCTAGAGTGTGTTCCTTCCGAGTAATTTGGGTGATTGTTCTTAAATTGTAAACAAAATTTAAGAACAATCACCCAAAAAACGGCCAAGAAAGCGAAGGTGAAATTGGGTTCAGGTTCGGGCCGGAGTTTGCCCATGATTACTACTGATTATTGGAGTTCTTTCAAGATTAGTGACTATTATTTCTATTCGATTTTGATAATCAGAATTGGGAACGATTAGTTGGATGAGAGTCATG